CAAAAAAATCCTTAGTAATGAATCTTCATTGTATTGTACAAATATGTCATCAGTCCATGATTTTGGAGGGAAGATCCTGATCATCCAACCACAGGTTAGTTGAGAACTGCAGGAGGTCGTGTTTCCTCCATGACACGTGGACTGAGTCTTGCGGGATGAACAGAGTTAATTCAGGTGAAGGACGAGAACAGAGGAGAGAGGACTTTCTAGGCACAGGGACCCTTCTCTGACCCATGGGATCCACGGAGACACATGCAAGGAAGAGTCCCCAGGCTATTCCACTTGAAGTTGTGTCGGGGATTGCTGGGGAAGCTACAGATACCTGTACAACACCTAAATGTTGGAAGTAATTACTGAATATTTCTCCAAGCATACTTGTGTTTAGGGTTCTTACCTCTGAGTCCTGTCTCATCCCCCTTTATCATCTCTCCAGCTGTTATGAGGAGGAGGAGGTCAGACCTGGCTGTGGTGCAGTTTGTCGGAGGGCCACCAGAGGGCGGGCTTCCGTCAGACGTGGTTCATGTTTACCTTCAGGCGCTGGTTTGACTTGCCTGCCTCTGCGGCCACAAGACAGATGTCTTGCTGTGCAGAGAGGGGCTCTTGGTTCCTGAGTGAGGAGTGTCTATAACATCCAGCTGGAGACTAGAGCTATTAGATTTGCTGTATTCCAGGGAGCAAGGACCATTTTCCACTTCAAACATGCTTTGTGCCTCTCACCTACTTCTTGTGATCTTCTTATTATACAGTAAGTGACGCCTTACCCTAAGTGCTAATACTTTTTTTATTTTCCTATAATCCTAGTTAACTTTTAGTTTTCTTGTCTGCCTCAAAACCCTCCTCCTGTGCATTCCTAACATAACAAGGTGATTCTCTTTTAGGGGGAACCAGTGGAGACTCAGTGAACCAGACTGAAGTCCCAGTCACTCTCCCAGAGGAGGCGTCTATGTTCCTGAACTGCATCTATCAGACCGCTGGTTCAAATCTCTATCTTTTCTGGTATGTGCAGTACA